AAGAAAAAATGTGGGATCTTGATAAAATAATTGATGCGACCGTAGAGACACAGCCGCTAATTATTAACCCTCAAGACGACTCGGATTCTGAAGATGATCCTATTTAGTTTGAGTTTGAATAGTTTTCTAATCGTAATTATATAAGGTAAGTAATAGTAGTTGTAGTAGTAAGGTATTAAAGGAGAAAGGCGCAAAATGTCGCCTGTCAAAATGTTCAATGTGTTTTAAATGTATCCATTTTTTTCAAATCCTGAGAAAACTAAAATGCATTTTTGAAAAATTTAAAGGCAGAATGAAATATTTATTAGATTAAATAGAAAGTTTCTTTTGCATGCAATATTTTTAATTAAAAATTATACTATATTTTCTCTTTTAATTTCACCCCCGTTACATAACATATTAAAATAAACATTGTAGAAGTTTTCAGGGACTTTCTGCCCTCGGTAATAATGTACCTAATCTTTCATTCTGTGTTTAAATTTTTCAAAAATCTTTATTAGTTTTCTCTGGATTCGAAAATAATGGATACATTTAAAACAAATTGAACATTTTGCCAGGCGACATTTGACGCCTTTCCCCTTAATTAAATAAATGTATCTTTACAAATGGCAAGAAACTTATTATTTTTGAATAAAATAAAGAAGTTTTATTAAAACAAAATACAATTTACATAAGTACGATTTAAAAAATATATTTATTTAGTTCAAATAAATGTTTCAATCATATACTCTACAACACTGATCGGTCATCTGTAACCAAAATACCTTCGTAATCGGATTATAAGGTTGACTGCTGTATTGTATTCCTTCAGATACAAGGTGGGTTAGTCGAAAACATCTTAAACTGTCAGTTTCAGGTTGGTTTTGACTATTATATCGTATTACTTATCCTATCTGTATTTCAGTTCTCTAATTAGGGTTAAACTTGTAGTGAGCTATCGACAAATTGTGAAACGATTATAGATTATTTTGAACAAGAAATAATGACTGAACGTTTTTACTATTAACGCTCTAAAAGAGGTAAGTTTAAAATTTAGAATATATAATTTTGTATTAAAATGTTTTCCTGTGTATTTTAGTGTGTTGCAGCAGTCCTGAAAGTAAGTGTCGTTACTGTTACTATAACAATTTGACAAATAGTTGAATTTTAAAAATTCCTTTCTTACTAACTATTCTGATCTGGCAACGCTGCGGGGTTCTGACGTCGTAAATCTTGAATGACGTGCAATCATTTTTATATAAAAAATTCTATATAGGTACTTCAATATTGTTAAAAATTTAAATTTTTTAAAGAGAGTAGCAGGGCAATAGCAATAATAATACAGCGTAACAGTAACAGCGTAGCATCAGACCATTCAAATCCTATAAATTGAGATTGATGTTAGTAAGAAGAAGCAGAAGTATACGATAATTAAAATAATAAATGTACGTGCCATGTATAAGACAAAACAATAATTTAGTTTCAAAAGTCAAGACGCTACTTTAATTATCGAACGGGTACTTAAAGTACAAGATTATTGTGTTAAAATAATAGAAACAGCCGTTTAAACATTCACAGAAAAACCATAGAAATAATTTGTGTTCTGTTGTGCAGAGGTAGCTTTATGAATTTGTTAATTAAATCTATACTTTCTTGTGTGGCAGCTATAAAGTCCTCTCAAGTACACACCGCCATCGAAAAAAAAACTGCAGCCTCAAAGAGCTGCATGATTGGTTTTCATAGTCGTACCGGTTGGGGTTATCCATTTCGTGAAACAACGTTTCTAGGCTAGCTAGCACAGGCTCGATACCACGATTCTAATTTATGATAGTTTTGCATGGATATTGTTGTAAATAAGTTCTTAGCCAATTTATTTACGAGTTTTTAACGGTTGAATGCTTACAAACACTTCAATATCGTCGGTTAATTGCCCAAGATCTTTCTTTTTCTCTTGCAGCAGTGACGGAGACAATAGAAATACGATCAAACAAATTTAATCGCAAATAATTATTTAAATTAACTGAAAACACGTTTATTGTGACGTTTATATTTCAGAATACTATCAGAACTTTTATATTACTCACAAGAATTATTCGAGAAGTCAATGAGAATGAAAAACGCCCTGAATATCTCAATAAAAGAGATATCAGCACTTGGTTGCTCATATATGAATATTACGGTTATCGTCATCGTATCCAGTTGGATAAAAAAACCTATAAAAAATTAAAAATAATAAGTTTTTCACTGAGAAAAATACATAAAAAAGTGGTGGGTATCAAATTTTTACTGAATGCCATAAATGACCTCGATTGTAATTATATATCAATCGGTTTTAAAACATCTTGCGACGTTCTTCTTCTTCATGTACCATGTCCTTTCAGAACGTTGGTTACCATCATAGCTATTTTAATTTTATTCACTGCCACCCTAAATAGCATGCTTGCGACGTTGGCCGATGCCTAATTTCCATGACACTCTCTCTATCATTTCATTGGCCCTCTCTAAGATCTTTGCGCTTATTGCTTTCGTTACTCCTTCTCTCCAAGATTTCTTGGGTGTTCCTCTCTTTCTGCGGTTTGGTGGTACCCACTGCATAAATATTTTTGGGGGTCTGGAGTTATCCATCCTCTATACGTGTCCGTACCATATCAGCTGTTTTCTTTCTATGTCTGTTGTTAGAGCGCCGTCAACCCCCATTCGCTGTCTTATCTCAGCTTTACGTGTTCTCTCTCTGCGTGACGCTCCTACTTAAAGAGCATTTAACAAAAACTGCCCAAAAGTTGAGTACAAGAAATAACATTATACAGAAGCTCTGCGGTACCACCTGGGGAGCATCGGCTTCCACTCTCCGCTCTACTGCTTTAGACCTTTCTCGACCGCTGAATATTGTGCCCCAGTTTGGCCACACAGTCCACACGTAAAAAAGGTCGACACTTAGCTGCACATCACTATGAGGATGATAGCTGGTACAATTAAATCAACTCCCACCCAATGGCTTCCAGTATTAAGTCACATTCCACCTCCACATTTACGACGAGTTGACGCACTTACACGTGAATACAAAAAGATCATGAACAATATAAACCTGCCGATCCACCAAGATACCGAGGATGCACGAAATACCCGTCTACGTTCTAGGAAACCACCAATGAAAACGGTAAGAATGATACATGAGGAGTTCAACATCACGAATGCATGGTCGCAAGAATGGAATGCATGGCAAAATAACATGCCCTGTATTACCCACAAGCCACCAGGTTTTGACCTTCCGCGTAAAACATGGTCCACTCTAAACAGGATCCGAACCAGACATGGCAGATGTGCATACATGCTACATAAATGGGGAAAGAATCCGTCTCTTCAATGTGACTGTGGGAAGGACCAAACGATCGACCACATTATTGAAGAGTGACCCTCAAGATCCTATAACGGTAGCCCTGAAGACTTCCTGTTTGCAACTTCAGAGTCAATTGATTATGTTAATACACTTGATGTTTGTTTGTAATTATTTAAAGTTTGTCATATACCTATATTACTAGTGTTTGTAATTTTGTTCTAAATGTAATTGCCATACGATAAATAAAATAAATAAATACTCCTACTGATCTTCAAAAAGCGTCCATTTCTACTGCCTCCAGTTTTCTTCTGTTGTTTTCGGTTAATCGCCAAGTTTCTGCTCCGTACAATAGACTGCTTTTAATAAGAGATTCCTAGATATTGTGTTTTATTTTTTTTTTCCTATTTCTTGATTCCATAGTACACTGTTTAGACAATCTATTGTTTTTCTGGATTGTGTTATTCTTCTCTTTATTTCTTCATCTTATTTCCCCGATGTGTAAAAATTCTGTATACAGCGAAAAGTACGGCAAGGAAACCGTCTCTCCAAAGCTATTCAAGACGCTTTCGAACATAGACAAAATGTATTGTGGAGTGGAGACCAAGACAAGAAACAATACGAACAGAGGCCCATCAACTAGATTGACTGACAACCTGAATTGTGTTAGCAATAACTGAATATAAGCCGCACAAGACAGAGACAGATAAAAAGAGCTGAGGAAGACCTATGTCCAGCAGTGGACGCACAGGTTGATGATGACAATGATGAGGGGAAATCTCAATCTTAAAACATTGCTTTAAAATCCATAAACAGAAATGAAGGGTACCGAGAAATTGTAAAAATATTTGTTAATGGTAGTAAGAATTCTGGAAGTCTAATTAAGATGTAAATGTCGAAGAAAATATCCAAAACCACACAAATGAAGAATATATACAACAGTAATCCAAACGAGGAAATACGAGCTACTTTGATGCATTTTGCAAGGTAAAATTAAAGAAAAAAGGGCCCCAGGACAAAGAAGAATATTATGGCTTGCTAACCTGAGAGCATGGTATAGAAAGACTTCAACACAGCTATTTCGTATAGCAACCAACAGTCATCATAGCCAGAATGATCGCCAACGTTCAGACAGGCACCCTAAGAAGAAGAATCCAAATGAGATTTGAAAAGTCATTGAGATAAAAAACGCCCGAAGTGTCTCAATAAAAGAGATCACGCCACCCGCTTTTTTAACAAGAGTCTTCATGCCAACTCACTTACATCTCAAAACTAATATCAAACAAAGTCCGTCGTAATTCCTTATTATTAAGAATATTAACAGTCTTTGTAGAGTAAGATTTACAAGAAAGCAATAAAAGCGACACTTTACTTTATTTATCTGCTGTTTCAGTTCTATTTTCCGTCTACATGTGCTAATATACCACTTGGTTTATTGTCAATTCAAACCCCATTTTGTACGACTATGTACCTGTGTAATATAAATCAACTAGATCTTAAATACCGCTGAATATAGGTGAATATCACTTCCATAAAGCATAAAATTTGTCTGTTTTGAGAGTTTACGTGTTTCGTGTCCGTTCAAGCATCAAAAACATAGTCATTTTAGAATGTATCGAAGTATACTTTTAAGATTACAAAGCTGTTAATAATATAAACCGGCTTTAATAAATAATCTTGTACTTACCGGTGATTTGATTGATCTGAAAACTGCTATTTCCAGGTATTAGACTGTATCTCAACGCCGCGTTCTGTTCAATATCAGCATCTGTAGCCATAACTTTGCCCACGAGTGTCCCCCTTCTCAAATTTTCTTCGATCTTAAATTCATATGAGTCTCTGGCAAACACTGGATCGTTATCGTTAGCGTCTAGGATCTGTAGTATTACTTTGGTGGTAGCTGTTTCTGAAGGAGTACCGTTATCGCTGGCGGCAACTGAAAAAGAAATAATTGTAAATGTTTAAAAAGAACATCAATGTCTAATTTACAATAGTGCTTTGTAAAACGGATTGAAAATAATTATTCAGGAATCAGAAGTAAAGAAAAAATACATGAACATCTTTACCTAGGATTTGGTAATATGACGAAAGCTCTTGACAGACTATACAGCTAAAATTTTCAAATGTTTATCTAATATGAATATACACCATAAAATAGAAACTATTTTTTTTAACCTATTCTCTATCCTTCCATTGTTGGATACAGGTCTCCCCCAGTTCTCTCCATCTTTCCCTATCTTGAGCTGTTCTCTGCCATGTGGGACCTCCTTGTTTTCTGATGTCATCTTTCCACCTCATCTGTGGTCTGCCTCTTGATCTCTTTGCATTGTATGGACATCACTTTGCGATGACATTGTTCCATCGTCCGTCTTGGAGACGTTCATTGTATCCAGCCCATTTCCATTTCAGTTTTGCTGCTTGTTCTATCGCGTCTACTGTCTTTGTTCTGGTTCTGATCCACTGGTTACGTTTTCTATCTTTAAGTAATACACCTAACATTTGTCTTTCCATCGCTCTTTGTGCCTTCCTTATCCTATCCAAATTGGCCTTTGAGGCTTCTTTTAAGATCCACGATTGAATACTATAAAAAAGGACAGAGAAGGCGTAGCGTCGTAGCATTCTTACTTTTGTATCAAGAGAGAGGTTGTAACTTGAAGAAGAACCCCATCCGATTAAAGGTGGATCTAGATTTTCCGATGCTTTGTGGCTTTAATGAGTGTAATTAGCTTGTGTGGCTAATTCACCCACTTTATTGTAAGAATTTGTTCCTTTTGACTGATTCGTATGCCTGTTTGAAGTCTACACAGTGACAACTACATAGAACAAAACTATCAATAAAATTGGAGGAAGAGTTTGTAACCTCGGAAATCTTTTTTGGATGGTGCTAGAAAGATAATAATGGAGACACTGCGGACGGCAGCCAGATGGTTGGTGGAGAGCGAGTCGTGGGTTCGAAACTAGCTTTTGGAACCGGGATTGGGTCCAACGGACGATATAAGTAAAGATAGGATAAGAGATATTAGAAAAGATATAGAAATAAACAAAGAGATAGATGGGTCAAATTACCAAAGATAAGAGAAGATAGAAACAGGGCGCCACTCAATTTTTTGGGGTTAAGGAGAAAATTAAGAAACCTTAGAAAAGAAAAGAGATAAGGAAAGATATCCTTCAGAGATCAGAGATCAAACCCAAGGAAAGATACCAACAGTTAATTATTAAATAAATTTGGTCAACACAATATATAAACAAATATATAAAGGTGTTACACTTACTTACCTACGAAACTTAATCACCCTGATCTTTCTACTGGTCAAAGGTATAGTAATAAATTAATATACCAAGCAAATATTTAAAGCTACTATTTTATCAGGAAACTTGTTAGGAGCCGACAAATAAAATACATGCATAAAACATTAACAATATATTAAACACAAAATTATGATGCTGCTAAATGCAACACAAGTAATAAAAATACACAACTATGAAATGGTGTTATATATGTAAAAAATTAAGCAATAATATAATAAAAAAAAATACCTTTACCAAGATATATAAGGCAATCATATACAAATATAGTTTGGCGTATCTCGAGATATTATAGGAAAGATAATGAGCAAAAATTATAGCAAATACAAAAGATAGCAAAAATTTCTTAACTCTAAATTTACAAAAAAAAACAAACAGGTTACAGAGTTGAAAACATTAACTAGCCAAACCGCACTTGGCTAGGTGGGTTACTATCTCGCACTATTAATTAATGCTAAACTGAGATGTTCATAGTTATTATTTATGGAAAGTTCTTGAATTGTTCTTTAAATTAAATATAAAAATCGGCAATCTACAGATGAAGATATGGATGAATGATAGGTGATACGTCCAAATAATGGCAGGTGGTATGATACCATACCACATTACTCGCCCAGATAATTTGCAGATAAAGATTATGGTAACTTACATAATTCCTGATGACGGCAGCTTAATTCACTGAATTTAATATACTGTACTGGTATTCAACACTGAATTTAATTAGGTACCATTAAAGGTAGTGTAGAACTATATATAACTTAATATATTCTAAGACAAGAAAACTGAAATATAGAGTGTATACATACTTAGACAATAATGCACAGAGACGATAATTTCAGGCAAGCGGCCACACTCAACGAGATGCCCCCGAGAAGTCTCATGAGATAATCGACCTGTGCTCAACGAGAGCCCACCGAGAAGTAAGTTGGTTCCACTAAAAATTTCACCAACTATCCAAGAAAAAAGAAGAAGAAGGTATATTCCCCACTAAAGATCATCGGACAGTTGTAGGTTGTACTGGGGAAGTAAAAATTCCGAAAGCTTTGAGTTACCGGTACCAACAATTGGACATGAGAAGCAGACAATACTTGGGATTAAGTTATTGTCAAAAGATACGGGCCTTCGGCGAAAATTATCAATTTATGTAAAAGAACCTGCATACCCAAAAGCATTAGATCTTTTCATACTGAGTATTAAGACGGAAAGTATTAACTACCTTTATTAATTAGGGGAGTCCATTATAATTTAGTAGATCCAATATTATTTTCTTATCGTAAACACGGGAATTCCTAATTATCGGCGTATCGCACGGGAGTAAAAGAAATGAAAAATAATTAATTATTACTAACCTGTTAATATATATTTATCCTTAGTTTCTCGATCGAGAGGAGAGCGGAGATAAAGCCAACCGCTATTGGGAAAAATGCCGAAGATTTCCTGGATATCCGAATCATCTGAAGAATTAGCATACGATAGCAGACGATAGGTTATTCTGGCGTTGTTGCCGCTGTCGGCATCTATAGCTGTGAGCTGTAGTATCTGCAAAAAAGTATAGATCATTTAAATACAAGAACTGAAATAATTTAATTTAAGAGATTGATTTGAAAAAATAGTGGGAATTGATCATATAAATTCTATTTCCTGAGCATTTCTACAGGCAAAGAATAGTGCATAAGTTTAAAAGTAATTTGAATAATACTAGCTATATAACTACTATAATAATAGCTATGAATCCTTGAATTTTTTTCTACGTGAATTTTTGCACTATTCATGAGTTCTTTATCCAAGTACTGATCGTTTCCATTATTACTTCTTATTTCTACACTCAGCACATAGACGTTTATATCTCTTTGATTAAAAGTTGTAAGAATTGCTCTGCAGGAGAGGTCAAAGGAGTTTTTAAAAAATAATAATACATGCTCGATTTTTCCCCCATTTCGGAATTTAATTGTTTTCTACTATTTACTCTACATTGATCTATAATGCTATTGGATGTTTGCAAAGAAAATCTTTTGGGGTGTAAGGGGTCGACCCAACATCGATAACATCATGACCCAAATGTCAACCTCACCTGCTCGAGCGGTAACAAATGGTTACACGGTGCACCCTGCTAAATAACCAACGAGGCTCTGACGACCGAGTATAGGCGGTATAACCTTAGTACCATAAACATGAAGAAAATGTCATGGTCCCATTCCAGGAATTCCTGAGGCCAGTCTGATGGCTAGAGCCGGCAGCCCCGGCATCAGAATCGGGCGCGAGAGGCCAATCACCTATCCGCCTCAAATTACTAGATTTTCGAAACTTCTACAGAGAACAACCGGACGGATCCTTTGATAACGACCTTTGGCTTACGCAAACGGACAAGAATCGGATATTGGAACATAAAAACTATGATGCAAGCATCACGCCTTGCCCAAATTTGTAAAGAGATGAAAGCATATAAAGTCGATATACTAGGTCTCAGTGAGACACGGTGGAATGGGACGGGAGAGCACGTCAACATGGAAGGCGACCTGCTGATATACTCTGGTAAAACAGATGGCGGAAGACATGAAAATGGAGTAGGAATTCTATTTAGTAAAGCCACAAAAAATTCTCTTGTGGAATGGAAACCTGTTTCAGAGCGAATAATCACTGCAAGAATTAGGACCAAATTAAGACTGGTAACACTGATTCAGTGCTATGCACCAACAGAACAAGCAACAGAACAAGAAAAAGAGGATTTCTACGAATGCCTTGAAGCAACATTAGAACAAATTAAAAGATCCGATATAAAAATAATGATGGGAGACTTCAATGCCAAGGTTGGCACTGACAACACCAACCTAGGACACGTTATCGGAAAGCATGGCACTGGCCAGAGAAACAACAACGGCGAACGCTTCATTGAATTATGTGGTAACCATGACCTAATCATTGGAGGGACTTTGTTCCCACACAAAACAATCCACAAGGTATCATGGAAATCGCCAGATAACCGCACCTACAATCAAATCGACCACGTTGCAATCAGTAAGCAATGGAGAACATCTCTCTTAGATGTCAGATCATGGAGAGGCGCAGATGCGGCCAGTGATCACTACCTGATGATGGCCGAAATTAGATTCAAAATAGCTAGGAATAGAAAAGAACTGAACAAACCTATTCGAAAAAAGTTCAACATTGAGAAACTACAAAATAACGAGACGAAAGTAGAATTCGCACGACAGCTGAGATCCAAAATCGACGAAAGACAGGACAAAAATTGGGAAACGATTAGCAAAGCCCTTGTGGAAACAAGTGAAAACGTGCTGGGCCTAAAGAAAGACGTAAAGAAAGAGTGGATTACGAGAGAAACGTGGAACAAAATAGAACGTCGCAAACACATTAATCTAGAATTACTAAATTCCAAGACAGCAGCAGAGAAGAACCGACTTAGAGAAAGTTATAGAGAAGCGAATAAAGCTGTCAAGAAGGCAGCAAAGAAAGACAAAAGAAAGTGGGCAGAAAATCTTGCCGAAGAAGCGCGAGTCGCCGATGAACATCAAAACATGAGACAATTATATAATATCACTAAACAACTAGCCAATAAAAGATATACTACCCACCAACCAATTGTAAAAAGTGCTACAGGTGAAGATATTACAACGCCACAGGAACAAGTCAAAAGATGGCATGAATATTTTAGCGAATCTCTAAGTGCAGTCCCAACACCACCAGAAGACGCAGAAAACCTAATACCCAATATCCAACTGAGAATTAACACCAACGAACCAACAACGCAAGAAATAGAAATGGCCATAGAAAAACTGAAAGCACACAAAGCAGCCGGCCCTGACAATATTCCACCAGAGTTGTTAAAAGCTTGCCCAGGTACAGTGGCAGAGCTAATCCAACCACTCTTGAAAAGGGCTTGGAGAGAGGAAAAGTTCCCCAAAGAATGGAAAACGGGATTAATAATAAAGATACCAAAAAAGGGTGACAGAAGATATTGCGAAAACTGGAGAGGAATCACACTTCTGAATACTATAAATAAATTAACAGCAATAATTATAAACAACCGACTAACAAAGAGTGTAGAACCAATGTTGAGGAAGGAACAAGCCGGTTTCAGACCAAACAGATCATGTGTGGACCAAATTAACACACTAAGAATAATTGTAGAACAGTCACAGGAATTCAACTCTCCTCTCTTTGTGTGCTTTGTGGACTTCAAGAGAGCTTTTGACACGCTCACACATACGGCCATATGGAAAGCACTGCAGGAAATAGGAATACCAGAAAAAATAGTAAATCTCATCAAAGAACTCTACAGTGACACAGAAAACAAAATCCTACACAACGGCATAACATCTGACCCAATAGCTATGCTAAACGGAGTAAAGCAGGGCTGTGTTTTATCCCCTATACTATTTAACATTGTACTGGACTCCGTACTAACAAAGGTAAACTCTAATAGAGGAATTTACTGGGGATTAACAAACAGACTGGAAGACCTAGATTACGCTGATGATATATGCCTCCTAGCACATACAAAACAGGACATGCAACTCCAAGTAAACAAAGTACAAGAAGAATCAAAGAAGGTTGGTCTAGAAATAAACACCAACAAAACCAAAGAAATGCGATTTGGTACCAGAAACAACCAACCTATTATGATCAACGACCAGAAAATTGAGAGAGTAGCGGAATTTGTATATCTGGGCAGCATAATTGACTGTAATGGGGGTACAGAGCGTGATGTACATGAAAGAATAAATAAGGCTCGCAACGCCTACAACATGCTTAACAACATATGGAAATCCAGGATTTACCCAACTAAAACGAAACTAAAAATCTTCAACACAAATGTAAAAGCTGTATTACTGTATGGCTGCGAAACGTGGAAGATATCAGCACCCATAGTACACCAATTACAAGTTTTCATTAATAGAGCGTTACGAAAAATCCTTCGTATATTTTGGCCTAACCGAATCTCCAATGAAAATTTATGGAACCAAAGCAACCAAGAATATTGGTATTGGGGATTAACAAACAGACTGGAAGACCTAGATTACGCTGATGATATATGCCTCCTAGCACATACAAAACAGGACATGCAACTCCAAGTAAACAAAGTACAAGAAGAATCAAAGAAGGTTGGTCTAGAAATAAACACCAACAAAACCAAAGAAATGCGATTTGGTACCAGAAACAACCAACCTATTATGATCAACGACCAGAAAATTGAGAGAGTAGCGGAATTTGTATATCTGGGCAGCATAATTGACTGTAATGGGGGTACAGAGCGTGATGTACATGAAAGAATAAATAAGGCTCGCAACGCCTACAACATGCTTAACAACATATGGAAATCCAGGATTTACCCAACTAAAACGAAACTAAAAATCTTCAACACAAATGTAAAAGCTGTATTACTGTATGGCTGCGAAACGTGGAAGATATCAGCACCCATAGTACACCAATTACAAGTTTTCATTAATAGAGCGTTACGAAAAATCCTTCGTATATTTTGGCCTAACCGAATCTCCAATGAAAATTTATGGAACCAAAGCAACCAAGAATATGTCATAAAGCAAATAAGGCGAAGAAAATGGAGATGGCTGGGCCACACACTCCGTAGACCGCCAAATGACATTGCCAGGACAGCACTGGATTGGAATCCCCAAGGCCGACGGAAAGTAGGCAGACCTAAGGGAACTTGGAGAAGGACAGTACTGGACGAAGGGAGAACAATGGGAAAATCCTGGCTTGAAATCAAAGCACTAGCCAGAAATAGAGTTCGCTGGAGACACTTTGTGGAAGCCCTATGTTCCTCTTAGGAATCTTGGGACTATATATATATATAAAGAAAATCTTGGTGGCAGGAATAAAATCGATTTCAAAACTTTACCCTATATAAAATAAACAATTTATCAAAACAATAATGATGACATAAACGTCAAGATGTATTAGAATAACAATGAAATTGGAAAAAAATTACAAAAACCACCACAATTGGGAGACCATTTGTATGGCCCAAGTATTTTGAAAGCTGAAATTGTACACGCTATCAAACTATTAAAAAGTAATAAATCCCCAGGACCAATTGATATGTACGCAGAAACAATCACGTTACTTAATGAAGAAAACCTCGACATTATTGTCAAGCTCTTTAATGGCATCTACGATACAGGCTAGACTCCAAAAGATTGGCTTCGATCTACATTTATCGCCCTACCAAAAACACCACGTGCGAACTTATGCAAGGACCACCGACTAATAAGCCTAATGAGTCACTTTTTGAAACTTTTCCTGAGAATACTTCACACTAGATTGTTTAAGAAATGTGAAGAGGTCAGTGGATGGAGTCAGTTTGGTTGCAAAAATGGACTTGGCACGAGAGAAGCGATCTTTAGTATGCAAACATTAATACAGAATTGTTTAGATCAAAAAAAGGATGTTTTTGTCTGTTTCATCGATTATGAGAAAGCATTCGATAATGTAAAACACGAATTGATGATAAAATACCTACAAGAGTTGGGATTGGATGCCAAGGATACAATAATTATCGCCAA